GAATGGATTCCTCTAATACAAAAGAGGTATCCTGACATGCAGGAACACATCCTTCTCAACCCATCTGCCCACATCACTCTCAGCACTCTCAAGACCAAATTCACAGGCTAAGGGTGAGTTGAGCTCTTTACCACTTACACATGTGGCAGTATTCATTTTTGCCCCAAGAAGTGGCACAAACAAGCAGCTTTCACATCAATTCCTTTTTGATCTTGAGCTCATCTAGCTCAATGTCAATCCAGTCATTGTTTAGGCTTCATATAACAAATATATATCGCAATATTGTAATTCACATTTGCAAAATAATGAACAAAAAAACTAAGTCTTGTTTCTTTTCCAACTTTTCTACTGGGAATATTGCCAATTTGTCTCACTCCTCCTCCTCTATTCCCTGATCTTAGGCAATTAATACCGTGCCTACAGCTACATTCCTCTTTTTAAAAGGTTCCTTCTCTGCTTGTTTGCACTTTTCAGCTCTGCTAAAACAGACAGCTTTAGAAGCCCAGCGGTTCATGAGCGGGGATTATCAAAACACTTTTAGTGACAAAAGTTCAGAACCGTTAGTGATTTAAAGCTTGAATTAGAGATACCAGTTTTAAGCTCTGAATTCCCTTGGTGGTACACAGCTCAACTTGTAGTACCACTCCAATATTCACTGTATCTTGGATGCACACTTTTTTTAAAACTGAGGCACAGCGCCCTCACACGGTTCTGAAGCAAAGGCTCAAGCCCTAAGTATAACAACACCCAAAGAACTGTTTCTTCAGAGAAACTTAAGGTGAAGGCAGCCCTACACTGAGAAATTAAGCAGACTCTCATGACTAGTAACTGGAAATCTATGCTCAAAGTCTCAATGACTATTAAAAGTGCTTAAGTTATCAAGAAAAACTGCAAATTGACTTTTGTGTCAAGTATCTAAACCCTTCTCACCTATCTACAACAAAGGCTGCCCACTGGCAAGAACATCAGCTTGTCAGGAAAAGTCACCAGGACAAGGCCTGAACCATGGATCCAGCCCCCTCACAGCTCTGGGCAGCCCCATCCTGCTCCCTAAAGCATCCAGCCCACCTTGTTCAAACTTCTCATCCCAAGCACTCAGGCAGCGCAGTAGAGCCGCTCAAAAACGCTACCTCCTCACAGAGGTCCCATCATCCACCTTGGGAGAAGGATCTCCCAGCCGCTCGGCCACTGGTTCTCACAACAGTGCCGGACTACGGGGCATCCCAGCGGCAGAGCTCCCCAGCAAGTGCCTGTAGACACAGGTGGGGCAGAGCCAGCATCCCGCCCAAGATCCCAGGCCATGCGGCTGCGCACACCTGCGGCAGGCAGGGGCACAACCAGGTGCCCATTGGGAAACCCAGAAAGAAGCCAAAAAGGGGGGACAGAGACACTCCCCCACACCATCCCCAGGACCCATAGGGTGCCACAGTGACACAAAGCCCTTGGTGGGGTGTTGATCGGGGGATCCCCTCCCACGGGGAGGAGGGACCCCAAGGGCCCCTTCCCACTCCCCTCGCTGACAGGAGCGGCGTCGCGCGCAGGGACGGGGGAGGTCAGTACCAGCCCGGCGCAGGTGCTGAGCGAGGCGGACGAGTCGCTGCGGTTGAGCACGTGTCCCGTTTTTTTTCTCCCCGTCCTGCTGCGGGCGGCGAGGGCTCCGCTGAGGAGCGCCAACAGGCAGTGAAGCCAACGCACTTATTCCCCCGGCTACATATGTGCATATACACACGCACATATATATTTGTACACATATGTAAATAAAACAGGCAAAAAGGTGCAGGGAAGGGAGAAATAAAGCAAACGCTTGAGCTACTTGCATCATTAAAATATATAGAGAGAGGGAGCTCAGACACAAGCATCGCATTTCACCAACCCCAATAAAATCTGCAGGGAGAAGGGGAAAAGCAGAGCGAGGCGAAGCGGCAGCCAAGGACAGTCAGCAGCTTTCCACATGAAACGCTGCAGCGGCGGCGGCAGCAGCAGCAAGGGAAAAAA